CTTCAAGTGAATGGCCGTGCAAAGGAACTACCCCCTTCATAGTCGAAGCCGAGAATCGTCTGCTTCGAGTCCCAAATGTGTTCAGCCCAGCAGGACAGCGTGAAGCTCACCGCACTTAGCTTGGACCTCAGTCAGGAATCTGCAGTATGGCTCTACCGTACTGACCCTCTGAGAACCCAGTCCCAGTCCGCCTCAGGAAATCACAACACGTGCCCTGACCATTGAACGCACCAACACGAAAACAACTCGAGCCAAGATCTATCATGGGAGCCCTGTTGCCAAGCTAACATAGAAGCCCACCGACGACTGCCAGGGCTACTGTTACTGACATGGCATGACTGAGGCTGCTGCGCCAGGTCAAGCAGGCCAAGCACCTGCTTGAACCACTCGGTGACCTCCACATGCAGAGGGGCTTTAAACCTTTCAACATGTTGAGGGCTCAGGTCTTATAGCCGCAATAGCTGTTTATGGCTTTGCAAAAAAAATGATAACTGTCGTCTTTCAAGACTAGGGTTCGTGGTGAGTCTTGAGGCGCGGCAGGCTTTGGGCACTCTGCAACCTGCACACTAGTCCCGTTCGGTCGAGGTCTGACAAAGTAGCGGGTGAAGCACGCTTCCTTGTGCCCAAACACCCCTAAATAAAGGGAGGACTCCTTGAAACCCGAGACTCTTAAAGGGCGACCTCGGGTGGCCACAGGTAGTTCATGCTCCTCAGGTCGTCGCAAGGGTCGTCCGACTGAGCGCACTCCTTGATCTTCCTCTCCTTCGCTTCTGCGAAGCTGCCGGGTCTGGGGTTTACCTAGTTGCTGCAGTGTCCTCAAAGGGACTAGTAGTGAACCTTATAGGGGTATATGCACAGAGATCCATGTGCAGGTTGGCTTCTGAACTACGAAAGTTTTGACTCTCAAAGCTTGGGCGAAAGCTCGGGACCTCAAAATATCGGTGGCAGCTCAGCAACATGTACAGGACAGTAGGGGTTGGTAGTCTTTGCGTATATAGCAGTCGAGTCTAGAAGATATTCGTTGCCCCTGCTGAAGGCCAGCCTTTTTGGTCTCGAGTGGAAGGCCCCGAGACAAATCCCAAGCCTCTTTCAGTGATGGTTTCCACGCTCCCAAAACTAGGGTGGTATAGGGTAGATCCCTGAAAGTCACAAGGCCCGAAAGGTCGCTATCCAGCGACTGACCTATACCTCCCAAAAAGCCCTAAACCCCCTAAGCCCAAAACTTTCGAGCCCTTGTCGAGCCAACTTCAGGCCGGGGTCTAGCGACCAATCGAAAACTTGCAGCTGCTCGATCTCGAAGTGTCCAAGCACCTGGGCGTTGTAAATAATAATAATAATAATAATAATAATAACAATAATAATAATATATACATACCCTAGACCCAAGAGTAACCTGGGAATGAGAAGGGTGCCCTTTTGTTGGCTTAAAGGGGCTTGTAAAGGGAACCTGAACCCTTAAGAAAAGGGAATAAGGGCCTACTCCAGGTGCTAGTAACAGGCGTTTGGGGTCCGGGTCAAACGAATCGGGGGCGGGAACTTCATGCCATTCCCGGCCAAAGCAACATCAAACCTAGTCAACCTGGGCCATTGATGAAGACATGCGAGTAGTGCAGCTGGGCGACAGAGCATGCCTCAGTTCTCAGTGATGAGCCATCTCCAGAAATGGCACTTTGCAAAAACTCAATCAGCAGTGCCTCTGTAGCTGCTCTGGGCACTGGATGTAACCCTCTCTCCGGCCATGCGTCATCAACTGGATTTGGCTAAAGGGCATGATTGAAGGGCTCACTGTCTTCGGGCCAAAAGGTTCAGAATAACCAGGCGAAGTGTGCCTTGATTCGGCTGAGGGGCTGTCATGAACTGGGTACCAATTCGGATCATGCTCGTATGCAGACCTCAGAGGCAGCGCAGGAATGCCCCAAGACCCGTATGCCTCCTCGGGCTTAGGGTTTAGGGACCTTGTTGGGAGCGCGCTTCCCTAAGTACCAGGCATCTCCAGCTTGACTAAACGTCCAGTCAACCCTGGGCATGTGATCCAAGGGCCGAAGACTCTGCGTTGCACTTCGGCAAAACGCTTCCAGATTCGATCTGGCTGGGGAACGAGACAGGCTAGCAGCAAGCGTGAGCTCGAGCACTTTACAGGGAATACTTGAAGTCGAAACTCCAAATCTTAACCGCGGCAGGGACGTGGAGCGAGCAGTGTAGCTAAAGCTTCGTAATGAGAGCGACCCACCCTGACCCTGAACTTGCCACTCTGGCTGAGGCGCTGCGGCTGTCCTTCACCTTGGCTCAATTGGGCTTAGGAGTCCAGAAGGTCTGCGGGTCGTGGTCCCTATATAAACCCGAACCCTGAAGTTCAGTAGTAAGCCGACCGCCGGAAGCTGAAAGCTTTCGGTTCGTAAGCCCTCTCCTCTACCACAGCATTCTGCGCTGCAATACTACGCAGCACATACCGTTACAATCTGGTGTACTAGTACGTAATGAATCCTAAAGCCACGAGTTCAAGCAGAGGGTGCGTTGCTTGTCCAGCAAAAACGGCTAGGCTGTAGTTGTGGAGGGATTATAGTACACAAAGGATCTAGTTCACAAGGTTACCTGCAGGACTCTATGAAGGTACAGCTGCAGGACTCTAGCTCCATCTTCCGGGAACTGAGGTGCTCAAACTTACTCCGTTCATGCTCAAGTGCGTTGCCGGTCATACGCACGCACGTCGGCCCGAACAAAACGAAGCTAAGCCCGTCGCTGTCGTCAGCTTGATGCAACATCACCGAACCGAAAAAACACAAAATAGGTACCTGACTGTTGGCCCTGTCTATTAGAAGTACTAGCAAAACAGTACTTGCAGCAATTTCGAAGCAGCCGAAAACTCGACTACGCCAGTCAGAGCCAAAGAAACGACCTCAAAAACTGTGAGTTCTGATATCTACGAAACGAAAGAACACCAAAACCTGAGAACTAGGATGCCAAGTTCAGGGATGCCTCACAGGTGGGGGAAGCCGAAGGGCACCTCTAGAGGTCAATAAAATCGTAGAAACCCTACGTGCGGCTGAGACTTTGGGACTGCCAAAACCCCCCCCCCCAACACCCATGAATCTGCTGATGGCCCTGGAGAGCTCACGGATCGCTATACCCTATCCGGTGCCCCATTCTCTCTAGACACAGAAAGTTACGTCTCTGTAAGGTCAGCGAGTGCAAGCAGGTTGCCGCGGCCATGGCCGCCAACGACGCCACGGCGAAGTTGACGAGAATGTTTTGGGCGATGTCCATAAAAACCACGAGCTGAGCGGCTTGGGTCTAAGGGGGCTTAGGCTCTAAGATTCTTATGGGGCTTTAATCAGAGCTGTGAGTTGTAACTCATCATCCGTAAGCGGGCGTTGAATGTAGAATAAAGGGAACCTGAAGACTCCCACGCTGCACGACGCAAGCTTTAGTAGTTGTCTGTCGGCTCTGCGCTGCACTCGCGATTCCGCCCCTTGGCCTATCAGTGCGACAGACTAGGGTTTAGGGTTTAGGGTTTAGGGCTAGGGTTGAGGGTTGAGGGTTAGGTTGAGGGTTGAAGGTTGAGGGTTGAGGGTTGAAGGTTGAGGGTCGAGGGTCGAGGGTCGAGGGTCGAGGGTCGAGGGTCGAGGGTCGAGGGTTGAGGGTTGAGGGTTGAGGGTTGAGGGTTGAGGGTTTACCGAGATAGCAAAGCCTTGAGAGGGTACAACAGTTCACCCGGCGAATGACGACCTCTACAGTCCTCGACATACAAAGAATTCAATATGAACCGTTTTAATTCGAATATCGTGCGCCCTTCAGCTTCGCGCGTGCGGGAGCTTTCCCGCAGCAACAGCCCTTTGAAAACATGTCCCCGCCTTTGTTTTGGAAACCGGTTGGAAACCGCTTACTGCGATAGATCAAGACGCAGTAGGGCTGAAGAAGATGACCCTGTCAGGCCCTGAACCCACCCTACGTAAATCCTAAGCCGTAAGCCCTAAAATTCCAAACCCTAAGCCCTGCTCTCTGAGCCGGGACACTCCCATCCAGTTAGATGCGATGCCACATTCTGAGCAAGCACCCGGATACCTTGCTTCTTTCTTGGTCTGTTCACTCGAACACAAGGGTCTTGGCATTGGGCTTGCATTCTTGAAGCCCAGGGGGCGATTCTTGGTTGAGGAATTTAGGGTTTAGGCGAAAACTTGGAACGTACCCCTTATTCTAACAGTGCTTAACAGGGATTGTAGTACCCCCTACTTTCATCCCTATTGAGGACTGTTGGTATAAGGTGGAACATCCCAAGCGAAAACCCTCAAGGCCTTCAGAGCTGGTTCTGATATTGATGATTCTAGTATTAAAAAACTGCTAGGTTATATGATATGAGAAATTATCTTCTCGCATGGTATATACCGTTAGGTTAGATCATATGAGAAAGTCTAATCTTACATCGTATTCTGGTAGTATTAGAATTAATACTCAAGACCTAGCAGATCTTTCGCGCCTCGAAGCAACGGCATCCTACATGGTGAACTCCGTCTGACGACCAAGAAACAGTTTGGCAGTTCAGGTTTGAGGCTACTGAGTGAGGTGGCCTACCGGCAGGCCTGGCCTACAATAGGTCACGAGGGCCTGGGTCTATCAGGTGGACGCACGTCCCCAAAACTTTTTGCAACAGGCTTGGACTAGCCGTTTTTGCGAGTAGCTTAGTAGCCTAAAAACCCTGAACCCTAAACCGTCCTGTAGATCCAACAAGAGTCGTATCTCGTGCATAGGCGGCTGGGCATTCGCCACATAGGAAGCCGGAGGAACCTGCACCACAGCAGCCTCTAAGGGATGGTCCCTTGCTTGTGTCATCCCTGACTTGATGGAATCTGGAAATTGAGGGGGTGCATCGCATAATCTACCTGAATTTGGGGGTCCCTTTCTGCCTCTGCCCTACTGAAGTCGCTTAAGCACATATTCCCGAATCCCCTTCTTCTGGGTTTTCAACACAAGGCTGCGGCCACAGGCCAATCCTTGCCTCGCGCACACACATTTCCTGGCGGTGCGCGTCACAGGGCAACGGAGGAAGGACTAGGCTTCTCTCTTGTTTGGGGCACCACTGGTCCAACTTGACATAGACTTGGGGTAGGTGTGTGCGCGTGTGTGTGTGTGTGTGTGTGTGTGTGTGTGTGTGTGTGTGTGTGTGTGTGTGTGTGTGTGTGTGTCTGCGCGTGTGTACGTGTCTGCCTCACTGTGCCAAACATGGACAGGGCCCCATACCTGGCTAAGCCAGCTGTAGCCTCAGGGTTGTGCACTTTCATGACGAAGCCGGGTGAGGTCCTCCCAAGCAGACAGAAGTGCCATCCACGAGGTTCACCTGGCCACAACGGGCAGGACCCCAACAAGGCCCTCACATCGTGTGCCTACGGCTGTTGTGGTATCCGATCACCACTGATGCATTACACGACTGCGGAATGTGCCCAAATCATGTATCGTTCTCATGCTACCCCTGTGCCGGAAAGAGCCTGTGCTGTGTGGTTGAGAAAAGAGGCAGCCTCTGTGAGCTTTTCCATAGATTGAAGATACTGCCGTCGGAGCCAAGCCCCCACTTGATGTTCAGCATTTGCATGCATCTTGCTATTGGCTCACCTGATGGTTCCAACTTCTTTGCCATCATGCTAACGGCTCCCGATCCTCGAGCTTCAGGTTTCTGGACCTTATTTGCCATCTTGCTAACGGTCTTCACCCTCTTGACGTTCAGCGTTTGTAGGAATCTGGCCGTCTTGCTTACGGCGATGTTCAGCGTTGGTGTGTTTAGCCATCTTGCCAACGGCTCCCGCCTCTTGTTTTGTCATCTTGCTAACGGCTCCACCTCTTCTGCACTCCTTGATGTTCAGCGTTAAGTGACATCTTGCTATCGGCCCATGACGTTCAGCGTTATATGCCGGCTCCCCCCCATTTTCGGCCATCTTGCTAACGGCTCGCCCCTTCAGCAATTTGTGCAATCTTACGGCGCCCGCAATTTGACGTTCAGCGGTTTTAGCCGAACCCCCTCTTGACGTTCAGCGGGCGTAGCCATCTTCGTAGCGCCTCCCTCGTCTTGATGTTCAGCGCTTTTGCGTCGTGCTAACAGCTCTCCCCTCTGGATGTTCAATCTTGGGACAGCACCGCACGAAGTAATCACTAGCTTCGGCAATGATGGGATGCCAACTTCGGGTTTAGGGGTAGACCTTGTGGGAATCAGTTGCATACGAAGACTGCTGCCGGATTCGCCGGCATCGCTGGCCAAAGTGGCCGGCAAAGTGTCGGGACAACTAGCTGGCAAGATTAGCCCGTGCCCGCCAAAATTGCCGGCAAAAGCTATGGCAAGAATCTGGGCTGTGATCTAAACCTCTGGCAAAAGCCATGGCAAGAATCTGGGCTGTGATCTGAAACCCCTGGCAAAAGCCAGGGGGGGGATGGGGGGCGGGGCGGATTTGGCTGGGGGTTGAGGGTTACAGCCGAATCTGTTAAGTTTCGGTTCTAAGGGTGTGGGTTGCGTTACAGCCGAATTTCAAAGGTGGGGGGTGGGAGTTGGGGGGGCGGGGGGCGTGGGGGGGGTGGGGGGGGGTGGGGGGCGTCGGGGGGTGGGGGGGGTTGGGGGTGGTGGGGGGTGGCGGGGGGCGGCGGCGGCGGGTGGGCAGAGGAACGGAACCACTCGAGAAGCACTCTGCGAGTAAAATTCAGACCCCCCCCCATTCCCATACGAACTTCGTATGGAAATGGGGGGGGGTCTGAATTTTACTCCCAGCCCGTTGTCGAGTGTTTCTGGAGTGGTTCGCGAGTGGTTCCCGCCCCCCACACCCCCCCCCCAAGCCCAACCCCCTTCCAACCAACCCTGCCCAACCCCCCAGTCATTCTGCCACACTTTGCCAGCAGGACTCTTTGAGGGTGGGGGACGCAGATTGGGGGGCCCTTTCCCAGCGCCACACGGCAAACAGCCGAGTTTTTTTTGGGCTCGGCTGTTTGGAAAAAGGGCACATTTTCCCAACAATCTGTCGTCAGGCCTGCGGGCCTGAAACCTGCCAAGCATTTTGCCGCCAAATTTCCCCCAATTCTGTCCTAAAGCCCTAAATCCTGCCAAGCATTCCGCCGCTGATTTCGTCGCCAGGCCTAGATTTTGCCAAGGATTCTGCCGCTGGGTTTGCCGCAGAAAACCCTCAGATCGGACCCGAAAAGTAAAGAAAAGTCTTCGTATGGAAGTGGGTTTTACAAGGTAGACCCTTTCCTTGGGATTACACCTCTTTTGCCGGGCCTGCCCTGGGCTTGAAGACCCCTCAGCCGTGAACGCGATTGGGGCAAACGGCCCGCCATGAAAAAAACTCTAAACCCTCGTCCCTAACCCTTTACAAAGCCTGCTTCCTAACCTCCTAGCCCTCCTCCCAACAAGGCCGCCTCGCACTTCGCCGCCAGAATCTGCCCTGTCTGGAAGAAGCCCGGCCTCGCCACTTCTGGTAGCCAATGGACTCAATGGACTCAATATGGACCATGTGCTAAGCAGGTCCCATCATAGGTCCCGGCTTTCGGGGCAATCCCCTTCTAGGTCCCCTATGCCTAACTCTAGCCCGTTGCAAATCATGCGAGCTACGCTCTACTCTACCACTGCCTTGGTACTCTTTCGGTAGGAGTGTGCATTCTGTGTCCACTGCCGCTCTTGGGATGTCCGGCTTTTCGTGGTCTGTCAGGCGAAAAAACCCCTTCAAATGCCCACGCTGCATGGCACGTAACTGCAGGCAAGACTCTCTGCCACGGGCTGATTATGCGCTCCACTGCCTTCACAAAGGACTGCACACGGCCCAAAAGTAGTAGTAGGTTTAATAATAGTTGTAGTAGTAGTAGTACGGTGCAACCCTATGGTTTGCCCGCGCTTGTTTTTGGAAGGTACATAAAACATGCGCAGGCGCAGCGTTTCTGGCCTTTGCCGGCCTTTCAACAGTGTTCTTTTCTTCGTTTTTTTTCTTCATAAACGACGACCCTCTGCGGGCTTCCCTGCGTTCCGGACTTCGCAGAACTCTATGGTTTGCCCGCGCGCGCCTTACGGTTTGGGCTTTGGAGTGTTTCAGGCACGAGTCCAGCACGAGGGCTTTCGGTGTTTTGTCGTCCTGGGCTTCAAGGAAATAACACTGCTTTCGGGCGTGGGTTCAGGGTTGAGGCGTAAGACAGTTTACGGTTTGCCCGCGTCTTCTGCTTGTGGGCAACGAACAGCCAAAGCCTAAACCTTAAACTCCAGAAGTTCTTGGTCCTATTTCATAGCTCAGGATTTCGCAGACGACTCGTCTTGTGGCCACTACACTACTGACGCAGTCCCGTGCTTGTTGGGTCGCGCGGCCACAGGTCCGCGGTCTGCAGAGACGGACACGGCCCTGGCATACGGGAAGCGGGGCGCAGACGCTGGTCACCTGCTTCGGAGGCAGAAAGAAAGCCTCCTCAGCGAGCTGCCCAGCGTCTGCGCCCCGCTTCCCGTATGCCAGGGCCGTGTCCGTCTCTGCAGACCGCGGACCTGTGGCCGCGCGACCCAACAAGCACGGGACTGCGTCAGTAGTGTAGTGGCCACAAGACGAGTCGTCTGCGAAATCCTGAGCTTTTAAATAGGACCAAGAACTTCTGGAGTTTAAGGTTTAGGCTTTGGGCTGTTGGGTGCCACATGGTTCATGCTGACATGCTGCGGCAAGAGCTGATTCAAGCATGCTTGTCCAAACCCATGCTTGACCACTGTGTGTGGGCAAACCACCCGGTTGGGGCGTAGTAGTAGTAGTACTAGTAGTAGTAGTAGTAGTAGTAGTAGTAGTAGTAGTAGTAGTAGTAGTAGTAGTAGTAGTAGTAGTAGAGTAGTAGTGAGTAGTAGTAGTAGTAGTAGTAGTAGTAGTAGTAGTAGTAGTAGTAGTAGTAGTAGTAGTAGTAGTAGCAGTAGTAGTAGTAGTAGTAGTAGTAGTAGTAGTGGTAGTAGTAGTAGTAGTTGTTGTTGTTGTTGTAGTTGTTTTAGAAGTAGTTTTAGAAGTAGTAGTAGCAGTAGTAGTAGTAGTAGTAGTAGTAGTAGTAATAGTAGTAGTAGTAGTAGTAGTAGTAGTAGTAGTAGTAGTAGTAGTAGTAATAGTAGCAGCAGCAGCAGCAGCAGTAGCAGTAGCAGTAGTAGTAGTAGTAGTAGTAGTAGTAGTAGTAGCAGTAGTAGTAGTAGTAGTAGTAGTAGTTGTTGTAGTTTTTGTAGTAGTTTTTGTAGTAGTTTTAGTAGTAGTTTTAGTAGTAGCATCCCCCTTGCGTCTGTGTGCTCAGGCTACATGTGTACTTAAATGGCTTCGTGTAAACTGAAACGGGCTCATGTAGCCCCAGAAGTTGGCCTGCGCTGGGAGTAGTAGTAGTAGTAGTAGTAGTAGTAGTAGTAGTAGTAGTAGTAGCAGTAGTAGTAGTAGTAGTAGCAGTAGTAGTAGTTGTAGCAGCAGTAGTAGTAGTAGTAGTAGTAGTAGTAGTAGTCGTCGTCGTCGTCGTCGTAATAGTCGTAGTCGTAGTCGTAGTCGTAGTAGTAGTAGTAGTAGTAGTAGTAGTAGGAGGAGCAGTAGTAGTAGTAGTAGTAGTAGTAGCAGTAGGAGGAGCTAGCCAAAATGTTGCCCCCCAGTGTACGGCTGCTTCGTACAGGTGGTTAAGCAACCCTAACGTCAGCCTTCACGCAAGCCTTTCAGCCATCTTTCAACATGGTGACCTTCCTGAACCCTCCAAAACACCTGGTGAAAAACCTTTCTGCCTTGCTGCCGTTGGTGCATACGATAGTCAGTACATGCTACTACACATGTTTGAGCTAATTTGGTCACCCGCCCCGGCGTTGGTCCTAACAAGACTCTGTTCATCGTAGAACGACGTGCCTCGTGAGTGTTTCGCAGAGCGATGTTGCAGTCAACAATTAGTCATATATATCATAAACTAGAACCGTGGTGCCTCGCTTTCCAATTAGATGGACCCTATACACACATTTGGGAAAGGGGTTCCTTTTTTATATCCAGGAGGACGCTGGGCGCATGCTGCATGAGTTTGGGAAGCGCTTGGCGCCTTATCTCAGTAGCGAGGTCTCTTTCGCTTTGTGTCAGAAAGTTCATCGGACATAATCTGCTTCTTTTTTCCCGTGAATAACAGTGTGCTCACAGTCCCTTTTGGAAACTTTATGTACAAGCCTTCAGAAACTGTAGCACTAGTTTCTCATCAACAAGGTTTACAAACGAGCGTCGGCTTCTGCATCACAAATACCGAGCCATTCGCCGCCAGAATTTTGTGGAAAGGTCGTTGCGCAGTTGTAAATTCAGTATTCCAAAATTGCGTCAGACACTTCTGGACATTGCTCTGACGAGGTCTGGCCGCAACACGTAGGCCACGGCGGTAGACCAGAAAGCTATTGCGGCGCCAACATTTCTTATGCATTTCAAATCAATGAAAAATAATGAAGGATATACTCAGTATAAACATACTGACATTTAAAAATTTTCTAATCAATTAATAAGGTGTTCTCTGTTCAAGTCTTGGAATTTGGAAATATTGGCTAGGAAAAATGACTTAATTTGGTAAATAGCAATATTTAATTGATACGTATTACCATGTCTATCTTTTATTCTAAGCACCACGAATCGGGGTCGAAGTCCTGACATGATCGCTGACTCGATGGCACATCCAACCTGAGGAGGCAGCGCTCAGGCAATGGCACTGTCACGAAACTCTCGAACTTGCTTTGTACAGGGATGTTGCCGCTGAGACCATCCACTACACATAGATGACCAAATTGCCTGAACCATCTTCAGTAGCTGGAAATGGGACAACGCTGAAGGAGTGCTGCATTGTGGCTTTGCAGTCTCAGCCTTCTCCAGGGCTAGACCAAGGTCCCAGTCCAGCTGCTGGCGCATGAACATTTTGTCCTGAAGGACTCCCAACGGCGCACGCGATACTGCCAAACGAGTGCGAAAGCTGCACCCGGGCCGGAGCGGCCTGAGTTGCTCGAGCTTTCGGTCGCCAAGGGTCGCTTCAGTTTCTGCGTTGCGGACGTATGTCTGCAACATCGACAAGGGCTGCCTGCTTCGTAGAGCAGCCTGTCCAAAGCATGAGTGCATCAGCTGCCAGCAAGAGAACAAGAGGTTGGTTGCAAATTGTAAGTAGAGCACTGTAGCCCATGGCGTTGAGCAGCAACAGCCGCCTGAAAACAAACCTTTCAGATGCCAAGGGAGTCTGCTGGGGCATCGCTGCAGACATCACTACAAAATTTGTAGGCAAACCTACCAAGGCCTGCAGGGCCTGCTGTAAACGTCACTCACACAACCTGTTCCTAAACACTGGCGCAGCACACACGACTTCATTCCTGCTGCCATTATCTTACATCTCACGACATTTTGACATACCACCATCTAGCAATGATGTGTCATTGGTAATTGTTGGCGGAGGTGGGCGGCGGGGCGGGCAAGCAGGCGTGATCAGACATGCGCGTTCTGTGCATTTCACAGTCACCCACCCCCTTCCCCCCCAATGGCGTCACCCTCCCACCCCACCGACAGTCCCTCGTCGTCTTTGGGACATGCCATCTCGGACACATGGATACAAGGAGAGACCTCCACCTGGAAAGGGAGAAAGAGCAATCAACTGGCAACAAGCACTCAAATTGTGCCATTCACCAGTTTGCCAGCAAAACCCAAGCTTCCCCTTTATGGAGAGCGCGCAAAAAAGAGGCCCGCGGATGTTCAAAGTACCCCCCCCTCCCCCCCCCCCAAACAAAAATAAAAAAAGCCCCCCCCTCTCTCTCAATTCTACATTTTTTGGTAGGATTCCTATTGTAGAATTTCAATTCAATTTTCATGGGGTTCGATTTTTTTCTCATCAGATTTCTACTAATTGTTATGGCAGTTCAATTAATTGTGATAAGAGTTGAACATAAAAAAGTAATTGATATGCCACTACTGGGAACTTAATAGAAACCCTTGCACCCTATTAAATAAAGTCCTTTTTTGGGGGTTTTTTTGATTTCTAATAAAGAAAATCGAAATCTCATTTAAAATTGATAAGGGGGGGGGGGGGGGGGGGGGGGGGCCCCCCCCCCCCCGCCCTTCTTCAATTGAGCGAGGAGAGGGGGGTGGGGGCAGAGAAGGGGCGGGGAAGAGGGGGGTTTCAATTTCGGCGAGTCGTGTCCGTTCAACAGGAAGCTTGCACATCTTGACTTACAGCAGAAAAAGCATCATGTTAACTTGACCCGGCATCGTGCATCAGGATATGTTTTGTATATAGCGCCACGACACCTACAACGCGTATGGGTGGCAAGTAGGCGCCTGGCCATGGCGGGTGCATTCTGCGGTGCAGGGAGTCGATGCATCCGGCACGGCGTTTCCATTCTGCTGGCATTCAATGTATTGCTAACATTAGCCTCGCTACACGCTTGGGGGGATATGAGGTTGTGAGACCTGTACGCTTGTGGAAGTCAGCTCATTGGCTTCCCGACTGTTCTCCGACATGAATTGTCCCAGGGCGGCTAGTTTGCGCTCAGCGCAGTAGTGGTCGATCTGTTTTAATTGACAGGCAGGGCGACTTTGAACCCCAAAACAATTGATTGAGAAGTTCTCAACAAGTTTTTTCCTAATTCCTAATCCCTTTCCCCTATTTTTTCAAAGGTGGTTTTCCTAACGCCGCTGGAAAAACCGGCTTTTCTAACATACTGCTCTCCCGTGAGTTTGGCGGATGTGTGAGGACGAAGCCGGTCTGCTGTGAGGTGCTGTAGTCTTCAGACACCCAGAAACCTGGAATCGACAGCGACGTCAAATAGAAAAATCGTTTGCTACTCTTTTCGTGATGCTATATATATATATACATACATATATATATATATGCATATCTCTTTATTTTTAACTTTATTCTTCACTGACAAGGCTTTCCACCCGAAGACCTGCGCTTGCACTGCAAGTTGACATTGTCTGCCCAACCAACCGGGGCACATACATGTGCTGGAAGTTCATCCCAAAAGCTTTAGGCCGAAACCCTGAACCCTGAACTTCACCAAGGCTTGAGTCCATGAAGAGGGCGGTGCAAGATTTAATTATAGATTTAAAGCATGGGTGCACATTTGAACTACTGGTCGCGGTCGCGTCGTCGCGTCGTCGCGTCGTCGCGTCGTCGCGTCGTCGCGTCGTCGCGTCGTCGCGTCGTCGCGTCGTCGCGTCGTCGCGTCGTCGCGTCGTCGCGTCGTCGCGACGACGCGACTCGCGACGACGTCGCGTCGTCGCGTCGTCGCGTCGTCGCGTCGTCGCAACGTCGCGTCGTCGCGTCGTCGCGTCGTCGCGTCGTCGCGTCGTCGCGTCGTCGCGTCGTCGCGTCGTCGCGTCGTCGCGTCGTCGCGTCGTCGCGTCGTCGCGTCGTCGCGTCGTCACGTCGTCGCGTCGTCGCGTCGTCGCGTCGTCGCGTCGTCGCGTCGTCGCGTCGTCGCGTCGTCGCAACGTCGCGTCGTCGCGTCGTCGCGTCGTCGCGTCGTCGCGTCGTCGCGTCGTCGCGTCGTCGCGTCGTCGCGTCGTCTCGCCGTCGCGTCGTCGCGTCGTCGCGTCGTCGCGTCGTCGCGTCGTCTCGCCGTCTCGCCGTCTCGCCGTCTCGCCGTCTCGCCGTCTCGCCGTCTCGCCGTCGTCGTCGTCGTCGTCGCCGCCGCCGCCGTCGTCGTCGTCGTCGCAGTAGTAGCGGTGGTCGTAGCCGAAGCCGTAGCCACAGAAGCAAGCGTAGCTGTAGCCGTCGCATAGTAGTGGTAGTCAAGGTCGTTGTCGTAGCAGCACCCGTGGTAGCAAAAGGACAACCAATGAACCGCAGCACTTTCACATGGTATTGATGACTGCCGCACGAAGCAAGAACAACTGTACATGCAGTAAGAAAGTTGCCGATCACGTGGCACTTTGCAATAGGACGAGTAGAAGTACAGTAGTAGACGACACCCTACGAGTTGTAGTAGGGACAGAAAAGTCGACCACATCATGATTCGGGAACTATGCTGAAAGTAGTCCGCTGCAATCCGCTGCAGCCAGGTTACTGTCGAAGCCTCCGAAGCACGTCAAACCACGGTAGGTGCAGCTGGCGCAAACCTCCAGCTGCTCTGAGCCATTGTTCACTGCCAGCAAGGCCTGCGATGGAAGGGCTCCGGAGCTTCATTCCCCGGCGGTTTGAGATTGGAAGCCCACTGTGCCAGGAGGGTGGCTCAAGCTCTTTGACGCCTGAAAAAACTGGTTGCTTTCCCAAGGTGCCGTACTAAAAGCAGGGACACAAAAGGGAACCTAATTTAGAGAACTACCCAGCTGCTTGCGGACTGGTGGCATGGCTGCCAGCGGTGCAAAAGCCTGGGCCGAGGTGTGCGGTGCAGATGGACTTTCTTTCAACTACGTCACTATGTCAATGTCGGACAAGAGCATCTCACGATTGCCGACACTTCTTGGGTGGGAGGCATTCTCGGGTAGGGCAGCACACGGTCAGGATGTTGTGCCGTACTGTTAAATGGAATCGGGCAGATCGAAAGCATTAAGCGGCCTGCCGCCCTCGCTGCAATCAGCTGCCTTAAGTTTGCTCCATTGCGACAGGTTTGGAGTCTTAGTGCTTCAGAGTTCGTGAAGCTAATAGTTAAGCCGTTCAAGGAGCAGCTGCTCCGGTTCGCAGCACCAGGCTTGCTGTCTGCATTTGCCGGACATCTCTGGTTGCAGTCCTGACGTCAAGCACTTTTAAAAGAGGCGTCTGCTGCCAGGCTTTGGCAGCAGCACTGAAGGAAACGAGAGGTCTCTGATTGGCACCCCCCCCCAAGTAGTTGAATGACACTGGAGATCCTGAGCTTGTCAAGAGTAGCCTTTCTTCCCATTTCCGCCCTCTGGTGGTGTTCTTTTCTGCCTGCTGGCTTGCAAGAGCTTTTGCACACGTAGCCAGGGCCAAAGCGCCCGAAGGCCCCAACTTCCCCCAACCTCCCCAAACTTCCCCCAACTTCCCAAAACTCCCCCAAACTTCCCCGAACTTCCCCAAACCCTCCACCCTACCCTTGGATGTCGGTCCTCGTTTCCGATGTTGGGCTTGAAGAATCCACGGCCGCAGGCGACGCAATGCTGCGCGTCGGCTGCCTCGGCCGATACCAGCGCAGAGGATGAGGGCTTCGGGTTTAGGGGCTCAGGGATTGGGATTGGTCTGCCCGATCTCGCCCGCAACTCCCCGAAATGGAAAGTCCAGGGAGTACATGAGCATGTTAAGTCCAGCAACCGGACAAACAATCCCTCAATACAAAGCACGCCTTGAGACGCATCCACTGTCACAGGGACGGACGAGTAGCTGAGTAGCTGCTACGAGGCCAACACTAATCACCTGTTGCTGTGCACTCGAGGATGACCCATAGAGCTGGCTCCCTCAAAGAGCAACACAGCACGCAGCCAAATTGGCAATGCACATCTTTTTGATGTGATGGTCTCAAACTGTCAGGCTGTAATATGCTCATGCGCTTACATTGCCAGGATGCTCGTCCTCCAGAGTACCCTGGCATGCAGATGCAGTCGACAATGCTGCTGCCGCCCACGTTGTCAGTGATTGTGGCAGAATTTGCCTGAGCAGTCTAAGCTCCAGGTTTTTGGGCTTCAGACTTCCCACCCCCTTTGAAGTTTACACCGCGTGACCCTGTGACGCAGGCCTGTGACGAGGGGCTACTTTAAGCCATGTGCTTCTGTTGGAGCCTGGGCCCGAAACCTTTTTGACCAACACGGCCGCTCGATAAGCTTCCTCCCAGCGGTTTCGGCACCCCAGGAGCAACTCTTCAACCCTTGATGGCAGAATAACTCAGGTGGTGCGACTACAACTGCGATTCTTCCCGCAAGTGGGCTGTCAGTTTAGGGAGTGTCCTACAATTGTCATGGCTAGAAACAAGCCTACACAGCTTGTAGCTCAACTTAGACGCCCCTCCCACCATCTTCGTTCAACCACACATATTTTTCAATAACACCAGGCTTTGGTTCGAGGGCTTCAGGGTCTAGAGTTTCGTGCTTCAGGGTTTAGGGGGCCAGTGTTTGAGGCCTTCAGGGTTTGGGGCTGCGGGCGCAGGAACTTTGTAGCCTAGTTGTCCGGTCTCACGGGGTCGTATTTGTTGTTCTCCTCTTCGGGGGGGTTTGCATGGATAGGGGTGAGAGTGCACCATAAAGGCTAGAGTAACTGTTCGAGGCTACCAACTGGAACTGAGGCACTGGGCACGGTAGCTTCGCGCTCCCGCCTGGGCAGAAGTGGTCGCCTCAGTTCAAGACACGTGGGTTCACGTGGATTCCCTGCTGGACCACAAACCTTGTACTTGTTGCATCGTGCGAACTCCCCAACTCGAAGCTCGCAAGTAACCCAAAAGCCACGTCCAGCCTGGACCGTACCGGGGTTTTAGCCGGTGCCCTGGCGGCATGTTCAGGGTCTAGGACTGACATGTTTTCTATCGCTGCACATGGGTGACCTTCTTGCGCTCACAGCTTCGGAGCCTCAATGTGCCTAGCAGCAAGCTGAATGCGAAGCCGCTGTCCCGGCAACCACGAGTCCGATATTGAGCAGAGCTGCGTGGGCATTCGAGGCACAACCCCTCGCTCTCGTAGCGACCGGCCTTCGGAAGTTTCATGTGGGCCAAAGCCTACGTTGAAGGTTTTGGGCTCTTGGGCATTGAACCCAAGCTAAGCCTGTTTTTTGAGGGTGGACGTGAACTGTAATGTTGGACCTGCTTTAAAAGTGTAACCCCCCCCCTTCCCCCCCCCCAAACAGTCGAGGCCCCTGATTAAAAAAAAAAACCAAACAGTCAGGCAGGGAAGGGGTCAGGAGGGGAACCAGATCTCAAACTAAGAACTTGGACCTCAAAACCATTCAAAAAACAGCCACGGCCCGAAAACATTTATTATAGCGGACCCCCAAAACAAAGGGCCAAGATCCTGAATAGCCGAAAAACTTTTCACAAGAGCGTCCCCCTAGACTATTGCGGGTGCAACATTAAGCCGGTCACTGACCTGAGGGCGGAGCCTTCTCGAAACAAACCTTAGGGATGCAGTTACAGGTGTGCCTAACCCCGAAACCCGAAGCCCTAGAACCAACCTAAACCCTAAACCCTAAACCCTAGAACCTGGTGGTATGAACCAACTCAAGGGCTTGAGTTGGTTCAGGTGTCGATCTTGAAGTTACGGATTTTTGGAGGGGACCTCCTTCATAGGGGTCCTGCAAGGTGTTGGGCCACCCGCGTAGCTACGATCTGCAGACTGGCAAGAATGTATCCAAAAGGACAAAGTGCAGCACAAGCTGTGGACATGGAGAAAAAGTTGGGGAAAGAGATGGAAAGCAAGGCTGAGAAGGGTGGAGGAGCAGTGGAAAAGCGCGGCAACAAGTTGGAGAGCAAATCAAGCTTCGATCGAAGAGAAAATGAACAAACGGTGCCATCGAGGCAGGGATGTGCTTTCCAGGTCGCGCGATGTTACGAACAAGGCGCTGCGAAGGCTCCAGGGTTCACGTAAGGTCCTAGAAAGGGGCGATACTGCCCAAAACCCTAAACCCTAACCCTAGTCTTTTTTGAAACCCTTTTGAACCCAGACTCAGAGCACCCTAAACCCTGTCAGGGGCTTTTCATGAAGGTTCAAAGCCGCTCCGAGAATCGCCTGGCACTGACAGGAACTCTCTGCCGTCGCACCGGCGTTTGAAGACATCCACTGCGGGCACTTCCTTAGTCCCAGGTGTTGGGGGGATTCTGTTGGGTTTCAAGGGTATATGGTTAAACGATTCAGGGGGCTTAAGCCCCTTATAGACTAAAGCCAGGGCCAACATGCGGAGGTTGACATTCCGCAGTTCCGAAGACGAATCCATATCGCATGCCCCAACAGGTCACAGGACAAGATGTGCTATTTAGGATGTTCCCCCTTATACTAACAGTTTTAATTGGGGGTTAGAATAGGGGTACCATAATCCCTACTAAGGACTGTTAGTATAAGGGGGACATCCCGCAAGATCAGGACGATGCATCTTCTTTTGGGCCCAGGCTCGTGCAGAGTACGTCGCCAACCGTCGCCTGCCATGTCTTGCACAGCATTAGCGTCAGGAGCCAAACCCTCACAACAAAAAAGGGAACCCATGCTCGGATGGAAGTGGGTTCTTTATCAAGTCTAGGGTCCCAACTTGCCCTCATGGTTCCTAAGGTTGGCCCTGGCTTGCTAACGTTGGCCCTGTGCAGCATTCCTGGCTGTTCGCAGACTTGAAACGCAGCAAAATACAGCATTTTCTGGATGTTCGCATGTTCTAAATGCTGAAAAATACAGAATCTTGGCTAGTTCCAGGACTCCAAATGCAAATGTTGTAGATTCCGGCATCTCTATCCAAACGCAGACTGCAGCATGTCCGTCTGAGTTCGAAGCGCCACAAACTCCAACTCAGCTACAGCATTTCTGCCTGTTCACAGGCTTCAGATGGTGAAAGTTTCACAAAAGCCACAAGCGCCATATGCTGCAAAGTACAGAATTTCTGGAGTTCACAAGCCGAATCTGGCTGCAATTAACAACAATGGACATTCCTCTTAAGCACACAAGTGAATCCTTTCAAAAAAGCCGATCATAGCCTCGAGCTTTGTCTTAGAAACGGGGCGCGCGAACAGGTCATTTGGCCAGGCACGCTTGCAGCAGCCCAGGCAAAGACTTGTAATTTATAGCGTCACGGTTGGAAACACGTTGCTCGTATGATGGTTGGGAATGGAGTCATTTTGGTTTTGAAGGAATGCCCATCGAAAGGACGAGCCATTGACAGCATGACCTTCATAGCTCAAAAGTTGGGAGGTTGGGGGGCGGGAACAGCCCCCCCCCCCCCTCCCATTTGCAAGCATGACAATGCTCGTTTGATGGGTTGGGACCAAAGGACCAGAGGACAGGAGGACACCGCGGACCAGGGGCGCAGGGGCGCCAAGAAAACAAGCCAGGGCCAACCTTAGGCAAGAAAAACACTCCGGGCCCTTAACAGGGTACCCAAAAGGGAGCGCCCATGTAGAGCAACCCCCCATGTCGATCCGTATGCTGAGGCCGCCCTAACCCCGAAGCAGGGAATCCGAAACGGTGTGCTCAGTGAACCTCCGCACTCCAACCTTGGGCCCGAAGTTCGAAGAACGAAAGCCATCGGACTGCCTTGTACTCCCCTTCTGCGCACGCTCCGCCTGGGATGTTCCGGGGAGAGTGTTCGAAAGCTGGCGTTCAGTCGGGATCTTCAAAGAACAGAGCCCTGTAAGCTACGTAGCTATTGAGTTTGACATGCAGAATGGAGAACCTGCGTGTCCGTGCCTGCTTGAAACAAGGTCTGAGCCTAAGCACACGAGTGTTGAGTTTGGGCAGTCCTTTCCGACTCCACGGTACATTCCCTCATCATAGATGACAAACATCGACTGGGTCCACTGGAGGTTAAGCCCTCAGTGTGTCATGTCAGGCTTATGACAGGAAGATGCCAACTGCCAAGAGGGCTACGAGTAGTTCGGCTGTGGGGGAAATGCAAAGAATTTGCGAGCTGCTGAGCTGCCCACTAAGAACATGCCCCTGCACATGGGAAGTCCCTGAAGGCATCGCCGGAATACCGCCAAAAGTCCCAAACCCTAAACACTAAACCCCTGAAGACCTGCACCCCAAGGTCTTCTCTTCAGGAGGGGGTGCAGCTTCCAGCTGCCGAGTCGAAGCCATACCCAGGACTGCACTGACAGTCTTCGCTGCTGACGACTGGCACGCCTCACTCAGGTCGAAGGTTCTCAGGCGGTAACAGTGCAGGGTTTCCGGGAGTTGCGGGTGTGTAAGCGCCATCCCACCATGCTCAAAACTTCAAGCATGCCGACATGCCAAGGCTGCTCTCACTCTCGAATGTTTCCCGAAGCGCCTGGAGGAACTGAGCGGTACTTCGAGCAGCGGACGGTCGCCTTTGGCAAAGCTGGGCTTGGACTTGCGAATTTCGAGCCTTGCTTCCCACTGTGCTTGGTAGCTGGTACATGGTATCGGGGAATGCTAATCGTTGACAAGTTCTGCATGGGTTTAAGTGAACCTGATGGCTCCCCAACTTCCTGACCTTAAGTCTCGGCCGAAACATCCCTGAAGCCCTAAAAGGCCCCAGAAGTCGCACAACCCCAAACTGCCTCCGCAAGCACGGGTGCAGCCAGCAGCGGCGTCATTGAGGAATAGATCCTGAGCACCAGGGGCTTGCGCCGCAACGACAAGAACATACAAGAGCTATCAAGAGCTGCTGGCTGCTGATCCTCCCTGGACCCCGCACTTCGGGGCCCTCGGCGTCTGACATTTGGGGTCAACCAAGGACAGGCTCAGGTGGCAGCTCTCAAGTGGAAGCACATAAGGATATATAAGGTAATGTAAGGCTCTCTGTGACCACCCTGCGAGAGCAAGAAGTGTTTTTGAGAGGGCTGGCACAGTCCTCAAGCTATGCTAGCGTGACACCATCAGGTTCAACTGCCATAGAGACCATAAGAGCAACCTGCTTGCGACTTATGCATTCGTACGCAGTTCTGCATATAAAGCCCCACAGTAAATCCTGCAGCCAAAGACCAAAGATGCTAGACCGTGATCCCTTAGAGACAATTGTACGAGGGCCTGATTGCCCATCCCCATGAGGGTCATGAAGCTACACAGCTTCGGGTTTTGGGGGGTTAGGGAGTAGTGTTTACCTTTTCAGATGCCTCTGAAAAACTCGTCTCAGCTGGTCGCCCTCACTCTTTTAGCCGAGACTCGGATGCTCCTCCACGGACTCAGCGATGCCGTCTGCGACAGCGGCAACCTCGTAACTTCAGGCATGTAGGGTTTGGGAATCTCGCGGGTGCTAGGCATGGAAGCTTTGGAGAGTATTCGAGGTACTGCGTGGCAACAGGAGTAAGGGTGCAGATTGGGGGAGGTGCAGTGGCAAGAGCCCACCTTTGGGATGTCTTGCGCAGTGTATACTACTTCAAGCGATTACAGTAAATCATACTTCAGCTTCGGTTGCCTGCTAGGACTTCCGCTTCAAGCACCACTGCGTCAACTACACGCCGAAAGTCAAAGCATAGCATCTCACCATGGGGGCTCTGGGTCTGCGCTTCATGGCTTCAAGGGCTGAGGCGCTTGGGGCCGCAGGGCGCCCTAGCAGTTGTTCTCCTAGGGCCCTGCTTTGTGAAATCTGAACCCTGCCTTAGGGGCCCTTTGGAACCTTTGTCGGGCAGTGTACACTCCATTAGCCCATAATTCCACGACATCCCAACGGAACCTCTTGATGTGCCCACCCCGCTGCATATGCTACATCTGCTACGTGCAGCGTGGAAGCATCGAAGTCTTGAAGCGTCAGCTTTGCCTCGTCCATGGTGCGATACTTGATGGTAACGGCCTCTCCAGCTGCTGGGGTTAAGGATGTTGAAGAATCCACTGAAGCAGAAAACAGTGTGCACCGTTTCTTGGGCTACGTGCTCACAGAAGGGGCGCCCCCGAAACCAAAAACGACGGACACGCGTGCACTGGATAACCCCGCTAAACCCCTGAGCCCTGAGCCCTAAACCCTAAACCCTGAACCCTAAACCCTAAACCCTAGTCGATGGAGCAAGTCGGGTCCGCAGAGCGTGCGAGCGCGCTAAAACTTCGACGAAGCAGCGCACAGGTCTCGAGAGAAGGGCCCTACACGAGCGAAGCGGAGGGGGAACCTTTCCGGGTTCAGAAAAATTGCGCTCTCTTATAACCCATAGCTCTGAATCAGCTTCAACCAACCTCAAACAGTGCGCTCTTCTCTGGATGGCTGGTGAAAGTCTGAGCCAAAGAAACCTCAAGCCCGGACTCGCAGCTTCTGAGCGCGTGGCCAGTCGCATGCTGCCGGCCGCCAGCCGCCGCTCAGTCGCAGGCAGAAATTCCTGTGCTCGGCAGGCTTCCTTCTTGAAGTTCATACTCTCTCTTGCTAGGGTGGAGGTTGGCTGTAGCCTTGAGGAATGTTCGATTCGTGCTCACGTAGCAAAAGAAGATCTTGGACATAATTCAAACGAAACCATGGAATCTAAACCCAAAACCCAAAGACAGCCTTGCGAGCGGGTCCGAGCATCCAAGGACAGCGCTTCTTGACCACCTCCAAGAATACCAGAGATGGCATCAAGAAGTATCGCCTCTTCTCCAGCCAGCGGGGAGAGAAAAAGAAAAAAGGGGATCGAAAGGCTTGAGTGAGAACCTCATCTCTGCTAATGCTCATCCCTCAAAAGGAAAGGACTTTCCTCAACCCAACCCTTATGCACAAGGTAACAAATCACAAGTTGGGCGGGCCGTTCTACTTTGTCCGTTCTTAGGCTTTTCCCCAACCACGAAACTGCCCTAAGCCCCCTAAACTAAGCCCTCCCCTGAAGCCCCTCCTGAAGCCCTCGCTTAAGCTCCTTTGTTCAAGGTGATGGACCCATCATGCTTGAACCAGAGCAGCTGAGCCAAAGGGGTTACATACTTCTGCTACAACTACAACTCCCACTTACGCCCCCACCATCACGATCACCACCACAACCCCGCACACCAATTTCCGCTTGTGTTTAAACGTGGCCCCTCTCTTTCGGTTGGTTGGCGGTTGGTTGGTGTTGCTGGGTGTGTCTGTGTTTTGTGGTTTTTGAAGCCCCTCCCTGATCCTAAGCCTATACTGGACAAGCGGCTTGGAGTTCGGACAGCGACTCGTTGCTCTGCGCCTGGTAGCCAGGGCGTAGACTCTAGGATGCAGGGCCTCGGACCTTTCCACATCACCCTTAAGACTTCAAAGAGAGAAGTAACGGCTAGGATTCATGATTTCGGGTATACACGTTTAGAGCCACCATGTCACTACAGGTCACTGCAATTCAGAGGCTACTTTGGACTGATCCCCCCCCCTCCACTCCCCCAAGGCCTCCCCCGCCCACTCTCCGACTTGCCAGTTCAGTTCCTACTTGGTTTCATGCTTCCGATTCGCGGGCCAGGAGAACGTGCTGACATGGGTTTCAGACGTGCTTTCCTGCAAATCTGCGCACCTCCGCGAGAAGGTCCGAAAGCTCGATGCTCAACACCACAGCCGGCACGGTGGACTCATTGCCTTACAGCGGCTGGTGGCTGTCTGTTCTCCGAACAGGGACGCAAGGCTTACAATGTAAGGCTTCACATGACTAGACCTGAAAACCTGCGGAGTAAGACCGACATTTCAGAAATGACCCTCTGCAAGCTCCGATACCATCTCAACTGGTGGCGAAGTGGTTTGGGCATTGAATCCACAGTTCCGCATTCTCGACCCCACAGTGTTCACTCGGGCCCAGAACTCCACTGCAAACGCCCGCAGGCCCAAGAGCCCCAACACCCCACAGTTCCCTCGGGTGTACAGGCAGCACAAGCGGCTAATGCTCTCCTCAGTAGGGGCCATGGTGACATTGTCGTCGACAATCTGAGGTCCTCAGCTACTTGGGTCTAGAGTCTCTAAGAAACGTTCTCTCAGATTAGTCGCCTTCATCAGTCTCCCTTCAGGTGGCTTAAACCGGTCTAAGAAGATCTTCAAGCGAGAGAGGGGTGACGGCAACCGTCTTCCCCGTCTTCCCCTACATACGAATGTGGGTTTCGGGTTTAGGGCACACTACCTGCTCCCAGTGCGTCTCGGCATCGCTCGATGCAAGACGCGTTCGATATGGAGCCCCGCATGTAGGTTGTCAAGCCTGCTTGACAATGGCGGTGCGAAACCTTAACTCCTGCCAAACCCCTGGGCCCTCGATATCCTTTCCTGCAAAGACGGTATGATCCTTGTTGGGCTTAGGATGATTTAGGGCTTATCGCCCCTACAGTACCAAGGCTACCTTAGGCTACCCATACCCATAGAGGGCTTTAGACTGCTTTCGGACTGCAAACTACATGTTACAATGTTAGGGCTGCAGCAACACCGATTTAAGCATGGGATTGTTTTAACATATGGTCGATGTCTGGATACCCCACATGGTGATAAATTAGAGACACAAGCAGGAAACACTCGGCCCCTGCACTTGCGACCCATAACCTCGAAACCCCCACCACAACCTTGCACCATCTTGCACCCACAGGCCAAGGGACCAGTGAACACAGAGCAGATCACAATTTGACCAACACCAAGCACACTAAACACCAGGAGCTGGCACTAAGTGTGCATGGGGTGCAGGGTTATTTGAGGGGCTATAGGGCTTGGAGCGAATGAAGGGTTTACGTGTCGGGCCTTAGATGCTTGAGGTTACGCTTTTTTAGAGGACTACAAAGAGACCTATCTTCTACGGCACCCTGAACGCTAAGCTGCCCCAAGCTACACCCAGCTTCGCCCCACGTGAGGCCTATGGCCTATGAGGCGCCTTTTTAGAAGCTTATGATGAGTAGACACGGTAGGGAATTCTAGGGCCTTATGACCCGTCTTCAAACGAGAAACCAACGACCCCGGAAGAGTTGAAAGCTCACCGAAAGCACAAGACAGCACTCGAGCCTTCCGGACAAGGTGTACATGTTCGCGCGTTGCCTCCGTCATGCTTGCTACGGCTTAGTGGGGTTGAAGCTCAGGCTCTGGTAAGTGAATCTGGTGCGCTTGTTTGAGCTCGAGTATGTGGTGACTCACACTTAGGCTTCTGCACAAGCGAGTCTGAATTCATGTCAAGTGCGCACGCACAAGCTCTTCAGAATCATACTCGATGGGCAGTCAAAACTGAAAGATTCGCACCAAAACCTTTGACCCCGAAGCCTTCACCCTGAACCAAAGTCCACAAAGCTTCCGCACTGAAAAGCCGCCAGAAGGAAACGATACAAGTATGCCGGGAGTTGGGAGAAACTTCAGCATCTTTGAGACTTTTGGTCCCGGGTGGATTTTAGGACTTGCATGGGGAGTTTCAACGGCGTCAATGCTTCCTGGCCATCCAATTCTTCTGCTGAGGAATCTCTTTTTTTGCGCCCAGCTGGGACTATCACCATGTATGTAGTAGATACGACAGCTCACAAATACGCCAAGTCAGCCTGGCCAGGCCATGCCTTACAAGCGGAGACATGCGAGGCAAGCGACTGACGTCGTGTTTGTAGAAGCCAACTTCCTCAGCACCGGCTCAAGGCGGTAAAGTGAAGGAACTATACCCGTGTGTCTGGGTCGGATTCGGAGACATGGCACTCCCCGGCGACTGCGGCGGTAGTGGCACAGGCGGCACAGGTTTCGTCCAAGAATCGCAGCTCACACACTGACGCAAGTCATCAGCGAGGCGGTATCCGCTTGCGCACTCGCAGGCCGCCTTTGTGACCTGGAAAAAAGAACGTCATAACGGACGAGTCACCATCATACAAATGTAAATGTGCACATGTATATAGACTGTATATAGTTATGTTTCATGACCATTGTTGAACACATTGTAGCACAGTTGAAGCCAACTGGTTCGGATTCGGGCTGCAAGCACTGCTAACGTCAGGCGTCAGGACTCCTCCGGCAGGGTATCCTGCACATATATCATCTTGAGATGCATTGCAATTGTTCAAAAGTAGTACTGAACGACAATAAAAACGAAAATGTTTATATGTATATTTGCGTGTGTGATATTCCGAAACTCTGCCAGTCGACCGCACCACTTGACTTTGTGGTGTGATGGAGAGCACAGGGAAGCCGCACTGCGACATCCACCAGTCCACCGGCACAATGGTAGCCTGCGGACATTCTAGGGGGGACGCATCTGATGGAAAAAAAGTCGGACCACGTTCCGACCTCTGCTCTTCAGGCAACAACTGGCAAGACCGAACAGCGCGACAGTGAGCTCCTTTCTGCGCAGACATTTCGCAGGTCCACATGCCCGCATCGGTTCCGTCCTGCCTCTGGTGCACGGTCGACACTTCCGACCTGACAACTCTGCCATAATGCGGTGTGCCTAAGTCATTGTTCGTGCCTTCCGGGAATTGTGGATGTGTGGCTCAGCTAGGCTTCTAGGGAGTCTAGGGCCCTGTCGGTAACACCTCGGCTCGACTGGAGCCTTTGCCTTGCTGAGATCTCAACGGATGGGAATCCCAATATGGTAGGCTTGCACCTGCCTGTTCTAAAGAGTGGGTAATGGGGTGACGCACCTTCGGGGACTTTACAGGGACGATGGCGTGCACGTTAATCACGGGGAGAATCTACATCTGTACGGTCGATCTCGCGCTTGAAAGGCAGAAGGCATTCGAAACGCTACGGCAGCCTGGGAAAGTGATGCTAAGGGGCTCAATGCTGGGCGATAATTCTGGCCACCTCAACGAGCTTGTTCCGCCCTGATTATCTTCAATGCATTTAAGCAGCCTGTTGACTGCCCCACGGTGTAGCGACCGGGTGGACATGTGATCTGCAACTGTCCGGCCAGCACGAAGGCTTCCTCAGCACCCTAAACTCTATGGTTGTTTCTCACGCTACTCCCCATCTCAGGTTAGGGTTCCTATTCCCCGGCCTTGTTTCCTATGCCTCGCTTGGCTACTCCCCAGTACACCTTCTCAAATGAGGGTTCCCTTCTGCCAACTCCTTCTTCTTGGGCTGAGGTTTGCCTGCTCCCCCATTTCCTTTGAGCTGCTCTTCATCTCCTTCTCAGGTCTTGGGGCACATCGAGAGAACAACACAAAAGCTGGAAGAAGGTTGGTCTAGGGAAGACAAACACGTCTCAGTGTCCTGTCGACAGCATCGCTCCAAGTTTTGTCCTTCTCAAGGCAACATCAAGTCCGTTGCCTTCCTGACAATAATGGCATTACATTGTTCTGGCTTGAGACTGGCACAACATTCAGGAGTTTATCCTGTGCTTCTTGCAATGACATTACGCCCCTCCGTTGCGCCCCAGCTGCTGGGAAAGAACAGTCTGCACTGGCTGCACACCAGCACCTGCCGGCTTCTTAGCATAGCTTGCCCGTCTTGAATGGCCGTCACATCGTGACATGCAGTTCTTTCTGAGAGCGGCACAGAATGTACGTGCCGGGTGTGCCGTCCAACGGCGGTACACCCAACGCAGCCTGGAAGCACAATTTTGGGCACAAAGCCGGCTAAGCTCCCTCGATGCCCCTCAAGCGTCTACTTACAACAACTTCCAAGGTTCTCTGAAACATTGCTACATGTGTTCTGTCTACAGTAAGGGGAATCAGAAGTGTCACCCGCGAGACAGCGCCAGTGGCCCAGCTCCAATTTGTTGTAACGCTGGAACATGTTTCAGCTCCGGCCGTCATGTGTTCTTGTGAGCACAGGGAATGGCGATGATATGTGACCAGGACAAATGGCCTTGGCAGACCAAGAACACCTTGCGTTTGTTGCTGAAGCGCCTAGCTAGAAACTGGTGGTTCCTTACATAAACTGCGAATGGACCAGGAAAAACGATTAATCCCCGCAAACGCGGTGAAACTTCGGCCATCCCGTGCTCCATTGCTGTGCATCGGATTCTCTGGAGGAAGTAAGGGCCTGGTTGAGATGCTGTTCTGCACTGCATTCGATATATCTCGAAACCCTCAACAACTCCCCCCCACGACCACGGAAGGCCCCTCCTGAAACTGTGCTCCACTCTTCGTGACGCTGACCACTGATGTCCAGCTCCTGGGCTTTTTGTACATCTTGTCTCACGTTGTTGGGGTCAGGTACTTCGACTTCTGGGCATGGTCGTGGCACGCATGGCCGCCGAGCCTATATGACTGTAGGACGCGGGGAATCTTGAAAGGAGGTGGGGAGGGGGGGAGGGAATCTTGAGCTTTATTCTGTCTACCGCGGCTGTAGCATCAGGTCTATACCATCTATGACAGGTAACATGCTGCAATAGTGGCACGAGGGAGGATCATGATCTAGAACAACTCTCTTCTAAAACGCTGGAGCTCTTCCCAACAGGCGGAAGATGGACTCAGCTTCTGTTGCTGTGGGCCTTCCCTCGTCACTCTCCTTGACTAAGGCTGTTCCCCGGCACCAGCTGCTTCATGCTCTTGAAACTGACAGGCGCCTCTGCTTGTTCGTGGGTTTCCATAGCTTGTTTGTCTCTGCATTCTTTCTGCCTCCGGTTCAAGGTCATTGAGCTCCTAACGAAGACGTTCCATGACCTCGGTACCATTCTGAGCCTTCAAAGCTTGGAGTCTCTGGTTGTGCCGATCCTGTGGTTGGCTTCAAGACCAGAGTAGCCAGTTGACAGTCTTCACATTCACTGGCGCAGCTAAGCCGTGCAGGAGCGAACGCGCTCTTTCCGCGGCGGGCTTGGGCACGAAGCAGATCAACATCTATGGGTCTGGAAACCTTAGAACCTAATTTCTAGACCCTTCCAGGGGTCTGGAAACCAAGACATCCTTGCCAATCCTAGAAACCCTTCAGCAACCCGCCTTTGAACCAAGGCTCGGGAAGCCCAAAGTGGCCATTGACTCGGGTGAAGCGACGCCACAGCCACCCGTAACCACCTGGGCACGCGGGGCACGCGGACCAGAAGAGCGGGTCGGGGGCAGCATGGGGCACCAAGAAAAGAGGAGCAGAGGAAATAGGGGCTTAAATTCAGCCACAGGATTTCCACCAGCAAGAGTTTTTCTCAAGGTTACTTATTTGAGTTTGCTTGGCTGATCTATTAAGGAAAATACTACGACTTGAGCCCCCTTATCTCCTTTAAATACTTTAAATGAGGGGCCATGATTCAGAGAACTAGCCGGAGTCCGAGAATCCCCGAACGCCGACTCCTGAAACCAAAACAGCCCAAACAAAAAAAGCAACCAGCACACACACACACACACACACACGAACAAAAAACACACACGCACACACACACACACACACACATACACACACGAACAAAAAACACACACACACACACACTATAAACCCCAACCGCGACATTCGCACCACATGTCCTCACTACCCCAAACCCTGAAATCCTGTCAAACATTCTGTTTCCTAAGCCAAGGCACCGAGACCTGATCACCGATCGCCAAGTTGGAGCCCAAGAGGTCCACAGTGCAATCCGAGCCCACCGGGCAAGCTGTGACCTGGCATCGAGGATGATACCAAGTGTGTGAAAAAGGGTCCTTCGGGTTCGTTTAGGGGCTCTGTAGCTACTCTACACTCGAAGCTTTCAACCCTAAACCGTTTGAGAACCCTTTCTCATCCGGTCATCCGGGCTTGGGGAGTCTCAAACCCTCAGCCCGAAACCGTTTTTGGCTTGGGTTGTAGGACAACTGGTTGAAGAGATATATATATATATACATACACTAAATGAAGACCCTAAAACCTACATATCTACATAACCCTACATCAACCCCAAACCCTACACAGGTCGAGCCCGGGAGCTAACGGGTTTAGGTGTTTAGGGTTTCGGGTTTAGGGTTTAGGGCTATTATCCTAGCATCAGGGGATGAAGGGGCGGAGGGGGGGGGGGCTTAGCCGTGTGAAGCTGATTGCTACCTGAAAAGGCCGAATACTATGCTCTTTAAAGACGGTTCTTCTTCTCCAGTTCGTCTACCGCCCCTTCTGGGGGAGCTAGGCAGGCAAGCCATAAATGAATCCTGAACCCGGCTGTAACACCTGCACTTGGATGAGGCTGCAAGACCCCTGCTGCACACTTGATTTGCCAGCAGCCAGAAGACCTCAGCCCTATCCAAACACAGATATCGAGGGTTCGGGTAGCCGAGCTTCTTCCCAGTAAGCTTTTCCCCCCTACTGACAGCACCTTCTCCAGAGGCCCAGCCAACACCATAAAGCCAATGCCCTGGCAGGTTGGCATTGAGGTTGAGGGCTTTAGGGCTGTTTCTGGCCTGGTCCTTGCCGGTGTTTTTTTAAACCACGTATGCCCACATCTTAAACCTCAGCCAGCAACCCTACAGGCCAAGTAACCGTGACCCTTGGCCAACTTTCAAACTTCTGAAGCCTTGACAATCGGCCCCAGCCTCTCTCTCTCTCTCTCTCTCTCTTTCTGTTTGTTTTTTCTCTCTCTCTCTCTTCCTGTCTCTCTCCCTCTCTCTCTCTCTCTCTCTCTCACTCTCTCCTGCACATGCTCAGGCGAACCTGCCAGGTGCAATGCGCCTGACGCTTCATCAGGAGCCCACTATCAGAAAGCAGAACTTGCCGCCGTTAACCCCGAAATCTTTTTGCCCCAAAAGCCATCTGCGCCCTACCTCCCGAACACAGCTTTTTTTTGCAGCTGGGACTCTTTGATGCCAGGCAAAGCTGCTTAGCAGCAGAACGCTTCTGAAAGCTGTGAAATCCTGAACGCCTGAAAAGCTATGAAATCTCTCGAACTCTCTCAATGTGCTCATCTGATACAACAGAGACACTCCAGACCTGATGATATTCCTCCAGGGCTCGACTTGCCAGCCCCACGACACCAGGATAACACTCATACAGAGTCTCGGTCATGCCGAACACAGCTTAAACCCCTAAACCCCCCAAAATCCCTTAACCCCACACCCGTTGAAGCTCCCCAACTCCCGGCGCCTGGGTGAAATGCTCCGCCAAGGTGCAGTTGTCCACTTCGGGAACGGGGCGGCAGAAGCAAAGGCGGTAGATGCCCGGCCGACCCCTCACCTGTCCCAGACGGTCCAGATGGCCTTACACACTTTTTGATAATTATAGGTAAGGACTTTGAACTTCGAAGATCAGATAAACAAGGCCTCTCTGGACCCTGTGCGTGTGTGTGGTTTCTGACACAGAAAGTGGTCACACCTCTTTGTTCTTAGTGCGCCAGCAGCTTGCCCTGAAGCATGAACGGGAAGGAAAAGCGACCACAGCCCCTGGTATCTCAATATTTCGTGTGGTTATGGCATCCTTTTTGTATACACCCAAATAAAGAAGTCTACGGAAGTAGGCACCCTTTTCAACGAATCCTATTAGAGCCCCCCCCCCCCCCCACTTCTACGACAACTCTGTCCTGCCCAAACCTCAGGAGCACATGCCCAACTAACTTCCCCGCTTTCCTGCAAAATGCTAAAAGACCTGCCCCAAGCTGATGCCATGCGTTTTCTACACTTCACCCTGCTATTTCTCGAGTTGCGGCCTTATCTTTACCATTTCTGGCTGTTCGGTCGTTTTGGGGCTTTCTGCGGTTTCACTTGAAAATTGTTTCAAGTTTAAAACAACTTTCAAAGGTCTGAAAAAGAATGCTGTCGGCTTCGAGTGCTTTCCCATTGTTATACATGTATATTGCGCATTTCTACCGCTTTCAGCAATTTACAGTTGCCTTTAGTATGCGCGCCTTGCATTCCTATGAGTGCCTTGCATTTCCTATGAGTGCTTTGCACTAAAGATTCATCATTACAAGCGGCTCTCTCCGGCTTGCCTTGGCGAGAAATCTGGGGTCGAAAGGGGTGGGGCCGAAAGGCGGGCGGGCCACTGGGGTTTGGGGGTTAAGGTTTAGGGTGCAGGACCTTGCTTTGAGTATGAGCCCCTTGCATTTCCTATGAGGGCTTTGCATTTCGTGTGAGAGCAGGCAAGTTTTATATAGGTTTTAAAGTAGTTTTAAGGCTTAAGCTTCGAGCCTCTGGAGTTTGGGCTGTCGGGTTTGGGCGTTAAACTTTGCGGCTTATGCTTTAGCCTTCAGGCTTTCGGGTTTGGGCGTTAGTAGGATTTTAATTAGGTTTTAGAGTTGGGGCTTGGGATACCTTTTACCCCGCTGCGTAGCGGCGTGTCGGGCTGTCTCGCGGTTGCGGGCCGTGAGGCCGCTACCGTTCATTCGCGTATAAATGAATATTATGCGTTCTCTTCACAGCATTCAGATTGTCAGTGGTGTGTGAAGAGAGCGGAGTGAGGAGTTAATAAGCGAATGAATGTGCTCACTTCGTTCTCACTTGTAATACTACTATTTTCTAACATTTCTATCCCGGGGCGTAAAGAGAATATTAATATTCGCTCCGGAGCAGCAGTAGTATTAATATTGTATCGCGTGATCACAATGAAAGACGTCTTTTATCACGCGCACTTGTTTCGTTCGGTTGCTCATAAGATTCATGCATTTGCGAGTTCACTTCTTTTAGGCGACAAGGTAACACCCAATTAGGACCCCTAAACCCTGTGAACCCTGAGCGGCCCCCAAAGAGCACCTCGGTCTCATTGATCTCATCCCCGAGGAAGTCGAACCACTGGGCCACCAAATTGGGTTCCAAGGAGATTTTAGGAGACGCTGGGCTTTCTGGAACAATGGCGGTTGCTTGGGGTTTTGGGTTTGGGGTTTCGGGATGAATGAGGTTTGGGGGGGGGTTGGGGCTTGAGGGTCAGGAAGCGAGGCTTCCTCAAAAGGATCCTGATGCGTTCATCAATGGCGTCATAGTCAGTTAGTGCCCTAACAACCCAAAACCCTACAAGCCACTTCAGGGCCTCAGGGGTTTAGGATGGGCGGGCCTTGGTACGCTTGCATGGCCCAGGGACCATGAAAGCCCAATCTGGAAGGAGAACCCCAATGATCGGCACTACCAAACCAAGGAGGCCCATGCTCAACTCGCCCTTTTGCGGCCAGGACTCTTCAGCATCCAGGCACTCTTGAGCAACACCCCTAAACTCCCCAAACCCTGTGCCCTGAACCCCAGAGTCCGAAAGCAGGCCAAGAGGCAACTCACCAGCACAGGAGCTTCAAGAGCTTCGGATTTAGTGCCGTTTGGGGTTCTGCGCACATGTTCTTACAGTCGGGTGCCGGCCTGCCCGGGGAGCGCAACTTCCGCCGTGCCAGGTGCTTCGAGGATGCCCTCGCCGGGGAAACCCGGCAAAGGGTCACCTGTGCGAGGGTTTAGGGTTTAGGGTTTAGGGTTTAGGATTTAGGGTTTAGGGTTTAGGGTTTAGGGTTTAGGGTTTAGGGTTTAGGGTTTAGGGTTTAGGGTTTAGGGTTTAGGGTTTGGGGTTTGGGGTTTGGGGTTTAGGGGTTTTTTGGTTTAGGGTTTAGGGTTTAGGTACTATTTGACAGACAGGTTTCGGGCTGACGAGGTTCTGGGGGCAGTCAAGGCTTCTGGGAGAAGCGTTGTGGTGTATGTAGGGTTTAGGGTTTAGGGTTTAGGGTTTAGGGTTTAGGGTTTAGGGTTTAGGGTTTAGGGTTTAGGGTTTAGGGTTTAGGGTTTAGGTTAGGGTTTAAGGGTTTAGGGTTTTGTTTAGGGTTTAGGGTTTAGGGTTTAGGGTTTAGGGTTTAGGGTTTAGGGTTTAGGGTTTAGGGTTT